AGCACAGCATTCTGGTGTCATGTGCCTAGACACTTCTGGCTAGGGAAGGGGTTGTCATGGCCCTGGGCCTGGCCTACCATTTTGAAAAAAGCATGGTTTTATAATTTTTGACCTGAATCTGATCTATTGCTGGGAAGGAAACAGTAGTCCAGGGTGAGTTTAAAGAGGATGAAAAGATGATCTGTCATCTAAATACGTTAGTACTTTGCCTCCTCTTTGCCATTGCCAAATTCCTGGAGTTGTTAGTTCCACTGGCCAAGTGCTTAGATTGCTTTTAATTTGTTTATTTTTTGATAAAGCCATATTAAGAACCTAAGTCCACTCCTCTGCCCTTGCATCCATTTTATCCTGTTATGTTTTTGAAAGCTGTTACAGTGCAGAACAGCAGTGATGCCACAGGACTGAATTACAGAAGTAATTTGAAGGTAGTTTTACGTCCTACAGTTTGAAGCCTGTAGATCTGTTAAGGTTTTGCTTTTGTTTTTATATAACTTGAAAAGACAGTACAAGAAAGGGGCTTTTCCAGTCTTGTCTGTTTTGATATCCTCTCCCCGTCCTTATCTGAGTACAAAGATATCTTTATCTTAAAAATGGTGGCGAGGCCTTAAGTTCCCCAGGTGACTGTTACACTATCATCATTCTTGTGTTGCATTTTGATCTTCACTGTACTGGTATGGTTACTGGGGAACAGGTGTGGGGGACTGGTATGGATTTACCTGTAATTATCGGTTTGGGGATTTTTGTCAACTTTCTCAAATAAAATTTCTTTGGGGAAAAACAACCCACCTCAGTTGTCTACGTGAGTCTTGTCCTCTCTGTGCGTGTTCCTACCAGCTGCTGTTTCCTGCACGCTGACCTGTCGCAAGAAGCAGCAAGTACACAGACCTGCTGCAGGCCTTTGGGTTTCTCTAGCAACAGTTAATTTCTAAAGAATTTGAGAATTCTGGACTCAGGAGAGGTACCAGCTGCACAGGCTTCTCTGCAGAGTGGGACCAGCACAGCAAGCAAGGTGTGTCTAATAGAGGTTACCATTTGTTGTCTTTCTTCCTTCCCCCCCTTCTGTCTATGTGGAGGAATTTTGAGGCTGATAGTGAAACAGGGCTGGTGTATCGAGAGCAGCCCTGAGGAGAAGGACTTGGGGATGGTGGTGGACGAGAAGCTGAACACGAGCAGACAATGTGCGCTCGCAGCCCAGAAGGCAAATAACTGTATCCTGGGCTGCATCAAGAGAAGCGTGGCCAGCAGGTCGAGGGAGGTGATTCTACTGCCCTGGTGAGACCCCACCTGGAGTGCTGTGTCCAGCTGTGGGGCCCCCAACACGAGAAAGACATGGACCTACTGGAGTGAGTCCAGAATAGGGCCATGAGGACGATCCGAGGGCTGGAGCACCTCTCCTATGAGGACAGGCTGAGAGAGTTGGGGCCATTTAACCTGGAGAAGAGAAGGCTCCGGGGAGACCTCATAGCGGCCTTCCAGTACCTGAAGGGTCTACAAGAAAGCTGAGGAGGGACTTTTTACAAGGGCAGGTAGTGACAGGACGAAAGGGTAACAGCTTTAAGCTGAAAGAGGGTAGGTTTAGATTAGACATTAGGAAGAAATTCTTCACTGTGAGGGTGGTCAGACACTGGCACAGGTCGCCCAGAGAAGCTTTGGATGCCCCCTCCCTGGAAGTGTTCAAGGCCAGGCTGGATGAGGCTTTGAGCAACCTGGTCTAGTGGAAGGTGTCCCTGCTGATGGCAGGGGGGGTGGGACTGGATGGTCTTTAAGGTCCCTTCCAACCCAAACCAGTGCTCTAGAGTACAAGATCCAGTTTTTCTCTGTCAGCTCCCATGTAAAATTTACTTCATTAAAAGAAATGGAATTACTTTCAGTTTTGTGCTTTAGAGGAAATTTTAAATCATTGCAAAGATGAGTTAGTCCCATGTCAGTGGCAGATGCCTCCTGAAGAGAGTGGTTAGGTATTTACCGAACTGCTGTCAGATCTCCTTGTCTGAGCCTGTCAGCCTTTGGTCACGCGGTAGCCACGTGGGATGTGCCATGTTACAGGACTGGGGGCACAGTAAGTGCTACATAACTAGTAAGTATTATCAGGGAGAATTTTGAGAAGGGAAATTCCCAGATCTTTGGATAAGGATTAGCCTGTGCAATTTCTTTCCCAGATGAGTATCTGAGTATGTGAAATCATACAGCTGTTCTCATGCGGTAGGTTGGCGGTGGGTCTGGGCTGTTTTACAGCACTGTGAATGCAGAGCTGGTGTCTTCATTCCATTTTACTTCTGGGAAATGGGCTAAAGTTGAGTTGTTGCAGATACTTGGGCCTGAGCCCATCTTTGTGTGTGACAGATGCATCACTGGTAAATCTATAATTGCCTGTAGCAAACTGCATCAGACGTTTCCAGCCCCTTCCACCCACTTGTCAATGTGACTAATGATTTAATTATCACACCAGTTAACACAGCGCGTGAGCATTCCTAAGTAAGGTATATCTTCATGTATTCCCCCTCCTGCTCTGCCAGTGTAGGCTGCACCCTGTGCAGAATGCCTGCTGCAGCTGCTCCCTGCGTGCTTGTGTGAGGGGATGAGCATTTTACACACTCCGTTGCTCAGGTCTTACCAGCTGCTCAAGTATGTGAGAAATAACCAAAGTGAACAACACCCGTGTTGTCTCCTAACTGGCAGATCAGGGACTTTCGACTCAAACTAGTTTGGCAACTGGTTGGTGAGATCATTAGGGGGTTCCTACCTGTGTGTTTCAGGGGGTCCTGCAGCAGAGGTTTGGGAAAGTAGAGTGGCCTCTCTTCAGCCCTGCCAGTTCATGTGATGTATTTCTGTCTCTTTCCTGACTTAGGTTGTGTCCCTCCGCTGTCCTTGTTTTTCAGATGCCCAAGGTGGCCTTGCCCTTAGTGAACAAAGTCTCTGGGAAATGAACTTCCCCTACGTTGAAGGTGGCTTGTTGGGAAGAAGAGAACACAAACCTGAAACGGATACATCTTTCACAGGAGGAAAAAAAAGTTGGGCGTGGTGAAGACTGCAGGAATTCAGGGTTGGTAGGTTTGTCTGCTGCCCCTTCTCCACCTGAAAAATTTGTCAGGATTGTGCTTGTTCTGTTCTTCCGTCCCCAAACCACCGCTGGTGGTGATGTGGCGGCTCTTGAGGAATGTGGAAGCAGCAGAGGATTTAGAAAAACTATGTGTTAGCTTTTCTTGGACCTTTTTGTAAACCTGAAACAGGTGAGCCCAAGCCTTTGCTGCAGCACTAAAATACTTGTATTTGCTCAGCAGTGTTTGTAGGAAACTCATTTTGCTTTGCAGTGGCAAGAGAGAGGAGTTGCTCTCTTTCACCTGCAGCTGAAGTGACTTAAACTTTCTGCAAAGTGGCAATAATTGATGACTGGTAACTCCTCCTGTTGCCAGAGGTCCATGTGGTTTGTCACCTTTAACTCAGTGTTATTAGTGTCTGTGCTTCCAGCTTGCTGACACAGCCTGCCAGAGGATGTGTGGTCTCTAGGTGTCCATCCCAGTGATACTTGCTATGAGGATCATTTGTTTAGCTCATGTGTAGAGAAAGCTGCTGTGTCCTGAAGGACCCATCTGACTTGTATTTCAGTTTTTGCAATAAAATGTCCATGTTGAATAACTTCCTTTGGGGGCACGTTACTCAAAAAAGGCAATGACAGAACCACGCTCACATTGCTCAGTCTCACTTCTGCGGTTTCCTGTCACTTAATTTCCTTTCATAGCTGATATTCCTGAGGTACCTTTTCCCTGAGCTTTTAAATTGGTTGTATTATGTGATCTTTACATAAGCTGCACTAGGAGGCTCTGTTGGAATTGTGATGACATGAACTTGGGTTTTTTTGGTTATTTGGGGGATGCTGTTCCTACAGCCAAGGCAGGCAGAGGGGAGGCTGTGCTTGTGTTTTCCAGCCATATCCCCTTGCAGCCCTGGTCTGATCTACTGCAGAGCTTTACCCTCTAGGGTTTTCTCACCCATACCAGCTGCTCAGTCTTTTATTTCCCCTGAATATACTTTGGATAATCTTCCCCCAGGTGTAAGGTATTTGCTATACATGACTGGAATTTCACAGTGTTGTCTTCTTAATTATAATTAACCACGTAGATGCTTTGTCATTTCTTCCTTCTCAGTGTGGGCTGCTCTTTCCTTGTGTTAGTTACATAATCCGTGTACTGTCTTGACTCTGAAAACCATGGATGAGATCTTTGAACTGAGGCTGATACTTGCTATGATTTGGTTTAAATGACTGTGTTCCTACCCTTATCCAAAATAATCCTTTGGTAATGATTTTGTAAGAGGCAGAATGGCCCATTGCCTCTAGGTGCTGTGATTTCTTTAAATGCTTGAGTAAAAAATTCAGTGTGAAGTCAGGTGTATATTCTTCAGTCACATTCCAGTAAACCTGAGTGGGCATCAGCTGTTACTTCCCTTAGGGGCTTCTTGCTGTGAGAATTACTGCCCTGCTTTTTAAAGCGTAGTAAAGGCAACACTGTGGGGTGGCTAAACCAGATTGTAGCTACTACTGTGATCATTTTATGGAACA